TCAGCAGACAGTGAACCTCCGCTTCAGGCACCCAAGCGCCAGGATTTCTTTCAAGGAAATGTTTAGTACAGCTGATCATTATTCAGCACTGAGAGACGCAGCAGTCCTAAAAAGGGCTTGTTAAACAAGCTTATTAATTGATTTGGGGCCACAGACAATTAAGCTCAGGAAAGCACTTGCACATGTCTGATTTCTCTGTGCTTTACAACTTTCCATCAGCTGAGAACTTTTTATATGGGATATTGACAGTCATTGCCCTAAACCAATTTTTCATAACTTTGGAAGGTTATCCTTACTGTCTATCCCTGTTTTTAAGGAGTCTGCTCTCAGAACTCCATAAATAAAACCTGTTGTGCTATTTCTCCGCCTTTTCCCCAATCCAACTACATATAGTTTTAGAAAGAGTATATAAGGGAATGAGTATATGTACATAACTTTAAAAAATGCTATCTTATTCTCAGATAAAAGGCTATAGTATAGAGCAACAGAGGAGTACATGAGGAATGTAAGAGGACCTGAGAAATATACTTCAACCTCTACTAAAGGGCTTGAAATCTACAGACCATTTCCAGCTGATTGTTGCACTACAAATAAAGATTCAAGGTTCTGTCAGCCTGTACATTTGCATGTACTTCTCTGTGCACACACAGCTTCATAGAATGATACAGCCTTTCCAACCAACTCAAATAAAGCAACAATATACAGGAAAAAAATGGGTATCTTCTACTGTAAGAAACTGGAACTGATCACTGAAAAAAGCTCAGGCTTATAGAGAAAAGTGGTCTTGCTAGACTAATGCCTGAGATTTAATTTTTAAGTAGCACAAATGGTTTGCCAGAGCTGTGGTACAGGACAGGCTCTTCCTTGATCCTTGGCTACATTACTGAACTTGCTCTGTGAGATACCTTATACTTGGATCTCTTTATTGAACTTAGTTTTGATTTTAATTTTCGCTTTTTTCATCTCTGTGCCTGTGAAGAACTACAGAAGGTCCTTCTGCAATAGGTGTGGGACCATGGGCAGGACCATTTTTTTACACTGTTTAATAGGATGCACATCATAATGGAAAGATGAGTTACAATGATGCTCCTAACCAGCTCTCTGTTAGTTGCTATTCCTAATCTCACTGTAGAGATATTTAAAAGGGTTTTCTCTCAGCTGATATTGAGGTCTGTCTCACAGAAAGGCGGGGAAGAAGAGAACACCACAGACAGGATTTTAGGTGGCTGGTTGAAGCTCCTCTGAGGTCTTCCTCTGCTTGGATATGTAAGCAATGGGTCAGTAAATTCATCAGGACAAAACCCAGGGCTCAAGCATGGTCTTAAAATAGAAAGCACGAGTATTTTCATGTGAGTTGCAGAAACTCTGTACTGAACCTTTGGTCCTAAGCCTGGAATACGTTGTACCTTGTAGAACCAGCCATCATTAAATTTTCTACCTTCTAAGCCGAATCTCAGGAACCGTTATATCCTGTAAAGCATGCATGCAACTTCCTTCTCGGACTTAGTTAATAAAAGTAATCTGTACTCGGATGGTTTTCTCACTGCTTTACTTAGTGTATTAATTGTTATTGCTCTATACTATAACAATTACTGTTATCAATACAGCAATTCATATGTAACAAACTTAACTGACGTCATTTGAACTTTGCAATGTATAAAAGTGCATGTTCAGGCTGGAATGCACCACTCGGCTTTTGCTCTAAACTATTAATTCTAATCTGCTAATGAGTTCAGTTAACTCAGTTCCAGACTCCCAACAGTGGTAGCTCTGTGCAGGACAAAGAACCTGTATTCTTTGGTGGGAACAATGACAAATGTAACCACACAAGCTAATTCCAGCCTCCCTTCCCATTTGACTCAATGATACACTGCTTCTGCTCCCTTAGGATTATCTTCCCAGAAGCTGGAGAGACCTGCTTTGTGTGTTTATCTTTAAATGTCTTACTGCAGATTTAGACTACAGAATACTGCTCATGGTATTTAAAATGTGATTATCTTTGCAGTTTGCCATGCAAAAGAGTTTACTATGCAAGCAGCGGTGCAGACTACAGTTTCTCTCTGCCACACAATAAATGTCTTAATTTAAAAATTGTTTTTAATGGGCAAGTGCCAAAATTTAAAGCAGCACTATATATAATATTTTCCAACTAAGAAGCCAAGGCTCAGCCTATATTCTTAGCATAAATTTAAGACAAATACCATCAGGTTAAAAAAATGCATCACTCTGAATTTCACAGAGACTGCATTAGTCAAAGAAAGAGAAATTAAAAACAAAATCAAACACTATAAACCAAAATGAAAAATACAGAGTACGAAATGCAAAACATTAAAAATAAGAGAATAATAGTTGCAAAGTAGGTTTTATTAAAGTTATTTTCTTTTTAACTATTACTTACAGTATAAGTAACATGGGTAAGAAAAATTGTATTATATGTCTACTTACATAGACTTCAGAAATACAGCTATCTGTACAGAAAGATGCACATAAACCATATGCTTAACACATATTTATGTAACGAATGCTACCAAAATTTGATAGGCTTACAAACTCACTTTGAAGCTGGATTGAAGAATAAAAGAATTCAATAAATTAGAACACGGCAAGATACCTGTCTCAGGTTTGTTTGATTTCCTTTCTGACTTAGCAGAGTAAAATACCTGGTTGTTCTGCAAAATACCGGATGCAATAAATAAGATTAAACATTGTTGTGCATCAAGCTAGGGAAGAGAAAAAACTTTATCCATATACTGAAGTAGAATTTTTGAAAATAAGTCATCACTGTTACGGGGTCATAATGCCCCTAGGATTAAGAAAATAGCCTGAGGACTATGAAAACCTTCTAAACCCCTATAAAATTACATATGTTTATTTTCATTTAGGCATTTAAATAATCCTGCTGTTAAGTTCTATGAGGGCAATTACCTTATTTAAATATTTGCTTACAGTAAAAATAATGCACCTGTTACTGCCAAAGCCCATATATTTTCGGGTGTACTAGTTTTCTCTGTGTATGAAATCTCTGTTACTTGTCTCAGTGCTCCCACATAGAGACAGAAAGACTGGATTCCTCACTGTACCAATACTATTCATTTCCACAGACACCTCAGTTTAGAAACTAAATAAATCTCACATTATTTTCATAGTCCCGGTACTACTACTGAGAAAAAGCAATGAATACTATACCCATTTAACCACAGTGTTTGGGAGATACGTGGAAGGAATAAGCAGTGGTTTATGTCCTTGTCCCCTATGCAGGTTTGACACAGCTCCCATGGTTATTAATACAAAATACTTGTTTGCGCTCTGACCACTGGTGGCAATACAATATCCCGTAACACAGGGGAGAGAGGACCACAATCTTCCAAAGCTTCCTCAGCACGTGAGATGTGCCAACAAGATTTACATTTAGAACAATTACTAAAAAATGAAATTCTATGGCCTCTATTGTGGTAATCTGAGCCCAAAGAGAAGTTTGTTCACCATTTCTTTTCTCTGTCTCCCTACGGACCTGTATCAATTCAAATACGACTACAAACTAAGGTAAATCCAGAAATCAACCATTGATTCAATGTAAAAGAAGATTAACTTAAATCAGTCAACAACACTGATATAAATATATCCACAGTGGTATATTAACTACCAGTAATTAAAAATATTTAATTTGAATACATTCAGTTTTATTATGAAGTCCAGGTCCTTTGGAAGTCACACAAGCTGGTTTGCCCAAGTCTGTTCAGTTAAGCTTAATTTAACAAAATCTGTCAACATCTTCATGACACATGAGCACTTTTGAAGTCACTGAGATCCCTAATGCTTTTCAAGTTACATATTTAACTTGGGATCACTAAGAACACTTCTGAAAGTGTCCCTAAGAACTCTATTGTGGCAGAGAGGCTGCTCAGATCATCTTTTAACAGAACTGGACATACATGCACTCTAAGAGCAGGACACCAGTATAAGTGATCCTGCCAAACTAATCTCTAATATAAACTCTGACAAACGGACCATTGGTACCAGGTTATTTTGCTATTATTTTCATTCTTCTGTTTTCAAATGGGTAGGCTTTATATTGCCCAATAGTAGATGCTCCAAATTCTCAACTGGCAAGGTCTGGTGTGTGAATCACGCACGTCAAAGGAAACAGGAAAAATTGAAAGCAGTACATTAAGCACTGTATCAGATATGTAGATTTGCAAGGGGCGGGGAGGGAGACAGAGGAGAGACAGTGAGTTAGGTCCATGAAATAATAAGCACAATGGCAGACATCTTAAATGTAGTATGGAATCAAGACATACACTGCATGCTCCAGCATTATTGAAGAAGTTTTGGCAGGCATCTTTACAAGACCATTCTGCTGAGGAAAAAACTACAAGAGGCCAGAACACTAAAAAAAAAAATGGTAAGTTAGCTAGTTAACTTCAATATAGTACATATAATAAAATTCTTTCAAGAAGCCTAATACTTAGAACTTCTAATGTAATTGGAGTCAATCCACATTAAAGATGGTTGCCAGTAATACTGCTAGTAACCATAATCATAAACAAAGTATCAAATATTATAAAATACATCACAGTTTTTCATAAATTTACTTATTTACAGGCCAGATTATAATATTCTGACTCATCTCTGTGAGCATTTCATTCCAAAACAGCTCGTTTTTTTCAGTCATACAGTCCTCAGCATGATTATTGGTATGTGGCCTGTGGGGGTAAGAAAATCCATCCTTCAGAGAATTCTTATGACTTTATACTGTAGACACTTGACAAATGCAGGAGACAAGAAGTAGGCAAACTCTCCGGACGCTGGTTACATCTGACCTTTGGAATCCTACTTGCTGTAACCTTGCCACTAAAAGACCTAAGAGCCACACAGAATTCTTCTGATGTGCAGAGACCTTCAGCTCATGTCAGTTACGATTGCATGCAAAGACCAAAATTCTAAAATGTGATTCCCAGCATTCTTTCCTTTTTGTTTTTTTTTTCCCCCCTCAGACTTACCTGGTTTCATCAATATAAACTGCCTCCAGCACAGATGCTGCATATTCAATATTCTTTTTTAAATCCACCACATTAACGTCACCCTTCTCCAGCTGCTTTACCAAGCATCTTAATCTGTGAAAAAGAAAATAAAAATATCAGTGCATTGCTTATACCAAATTTTAGCGGCTGCATTTTCTATTTGAAATATTGGAACCAACACAATAGCCAATGTAGAGGCAAGAGACCATAACTGCATTTCTTCGGTTTTTTTTTTAAATATCTGGGTTTAGAACGCACATAACAATGAACAGTTGTAGGATTTTACAGCTTGCTAAATTTGTCAGATCTATTAAGAAAAGGCATATACATTCCAGTAAGTCAGAGAGGACTCAGTAACTGCCATCAGAGTTATTTTGTATTAATTTGTGACATTACAATTATGCTTGAGCCTCTAATTTTGTTTAAATAATAAATGAAGCTTTGCAAATTGTCTTACTATAATTTTTCTGTGCTTAGAAGGTTGATTATAATTTTTTAATATCTACTATACACTGATTTGCTTTATTTAAATGTCCAGTACTTTTTTGCTGTAGAATTTGTATTTCTTACTAGCATGAGCTAATGTGGAGCTCCATTGTTTCTTGTTTACAGAAAATTCATCATTATACCAGACGAAAGGTGGTGCCTATGGCATTAGAAAAATCCAAATATTTTCCCAAGTGTGCTTTTACTTTTAGTTTTGAGAACATTCTTTTACATTACAAATACGGATACGCCCAAAGGGGATTTTATAACTCACGCCTCTGTAGCAATACATTTATACAGATAAACTCCTCTAATACCAGATTTTTCCTAAACTCTCTGCCGAGAACACTTCTGACGCTGCTCAACTTAACCACACAGAGTAGTCACAGCACTGAAGTGAAAACCTTGTCAGTAACTGTACAGCTGTGACTAAATGAATGCTTAAAGAAGTATGTGTATTTTCATTCTTTCTGTGCTATATCTCCAAGTTGAAATCATCTACAGTTTTGCATCATGTAAGATAAAGACTTCTGTATTTAAAGATACATCATTATTTTAACATAACTTTCATCAAATAATCTTTTTTATGTGTATGAAATGTGGAAAAATTGTGTGAAACAAGCATTTAGTTCAAAAGTGGATTGAAATTGAGTCAGCATTAAGCTGGCTTTACTTTCAGAAAAAAATCATATTTATGGTGTGAAAGAGCATATATAAAAATGTGCGATATGTTCTATATACTATATGTTATTTTTATTGGACTTATACAATGTTTGATTGGAATTAATTAAAACGCATGAATTTTAAAAAATTTCATGATATTCAAAGCAAATCTCTTATAAACTTGGAAAGTACTGTTCCATCATAAAAGCGCTTTCATGTTTTTCATTTTGAAAACATGAAAATTGTTTTCATTTTACATTTATTTGGGCTAAGCATAATTACATCCAAGCCCGAAAGGATAATTTTAGCAAACAGAGTTTCAAGACCAGTCTCTTCAGTTCTCCAAAGTCTTAATTCAATTCAAATCAGCATAGAACATAACACAAATAAGGCTTTTAGAAACCATATTTACTCGGTATTTTACACATCACATATCAATGGAACAGAAAATCTAGTGTCAAAAAATTTTCTCAGAGAAGAGAAGTGGGTGGATGAAATACTGTGGGAGTGCATCTCCTACACAGAAATCACCATATGCTACACAGAAATTACCTTACGCATGGGGAGACTGTTCCAGTACATAACTCTTTCCACTTCAGAGGTACCTTTAGACTGAAGAAGCTAATTCATAGACACTCACCCTGCAGTACCCAGCGCACGCACTGTAACTCTCCTGGGATGTCTGCTCCTCAGTAATGCACACCAGCACACATGCAACCCCTCCTGAGCACCAACGCCAAAATGCCCAGGTAAGTCTGGCAGCATCATCCCCGCTACCTGGAAACAGCTGTAGGGTGGTTCTGCCACTTGCAGTGTTCCCTCCATGGCTGACTAAGCCTGTCTCTGAACCACACTTTCCAGAGTGGAGGCATAAAAGGATTTAAAAATGCAACACTTCACAGCGGGGGGGGCTAGGCTGTGGCAGAACAATATTAGCTGAAAATGGCTTCAAATCCTATGATTTCCAGTGGTTCTATGTTTTCTTAGGGTATAGACCAGATGACAGATATGTGGAATCATTTTTATGTTTGCAGGAGGAAAGGAGTCCCTGGGGGAGCCTTTAAGCCACAACGACCTTGCAGTATCTAGCTGCATAGGTGGCAATCAACTGATGTAACTTGCCCTGTAGTTATAGTACATACACTGGGAGGAATGCAGAACACGGTAACAAACCGGGCAATTTGGAAAAGCTGCTCAGGCAAAGTTAAAGTGATTCTGAAGAGGTTACAGAATCGCGAAAGGACAAAATCTGTATAATCCAATGATGATCAGTGACCTTGTCATCTCATGCATCCACGCTTTGTGGAGATGTCCTCAAGAGTGTCTGTAGCTGGCCCAGTGCAGATCTATCTTAGAACCACAGGATTATTTTGGCTGGGAGGGACGTCCACCTGGTCCAAGCTCTTGCTCAAAGCAGGGACAACCTCAAAGTCAGGTTAGATCAAATTTCCCAGAGGCATTTCCACTCAAGTTTTGAATGCATGTAGATTTCACAAACTCTCTGAGCAACGAGTTTCAATGCTTAACCATCCTTAGGGTGGATTATTTTTTTTCCCAATATCTAACTGGAATGTCCTTTTGCAGCAACTAGTGGCCAGTGGCCCCCAGCCTTTGCTGTGCTCTTCCATGGGAAATCCATCTCTATTTGCGGTACAACTTCCCACTAGGAAGCTGGACACAGCGATAAAATCCTCCACAGTGCTGTTGATCAGACACTTGTCAGGCGATAATCATGAGGTCTACCCTAAAAATTAGAAAAATAGACTTCCAATGCAGCAAAACTAAGTGGGTTATAACAGTATATGAACGGTCAGAATCTACTCTGCATACTATGCATTAAAGTGAAATAGCCACAGAGTTTAAGAGCTGACATTTCAGTAATGAAACTAACATTTTTGTAAAGAATAAATATGTCAATTTATAAGACAAACCAACAAGTATTAAAATACTTAGAGCCCAACATTCTGCAAGACAAAGAAAATTGTAAAATGGACAACAAAAAGTAACAAAAAAGAATTATTACTCCAGCTGTTTTGGGCGGGATTTTTATTTATTTGTTTGTTTCCTTTTAATTAAGTGTGATAAATCGAAAGCAAACACGAGAAACATCATTAGAAAACCTGAAATGCTACTTAAAATTGGAGCTAATTGTATTATCCTGCCTGTGAACTGTGCTACTAATAAATAATAGACAGCAACAAGAGAAAAATGGAGGGCCTAACTGGTGAAATAGAAAAATGAACTGTTTGTACTGTTTTAAGGTGCAAAGAAAGTTGGATGCAGAGTTAATATAACACAACATGAAAGAAAGAATTTTTAGAGAAAAAGAAACATATTTTTTCTCTCAGGACAACTGAAAACTGCATTTTAAAACTAGCAGCCCCAGTTTGTAAGGGAGAGACATCTGCAATTAATTAAGGGAGTGGGTGGAGAACCATCTTCTGTCATATTGGGTAAATGCTATTAACAGTGCTGTGGTATTAAATGCTTTCACGGACTATCCAAATGCACTCTGCTCCTACCTATATTTCACACTGCCATCTTGTGAGGTTACCAGGACCAGTGTTGCCCCAGTCCTCACCTCCCCATGAAGTTGATGCCTACGCCCAACTGTGGGCAATAAGTTTTGAGGCCCACCCAGCAACACAGGCAAACCAGGTGAAAATGAGGATTTTACAAGGAGCCAAAGTAGCGTGTTCTTGATTAACAATATCAAAATCATGACTCAGTTGTTCCCTCCTTCATCATAAAAATTCTCCCATGTTTGAATTAAAGTTTTGATAAATCTACTGTAACTTTCAGGGGTTGTACCAAATTAAATGAGGATAGATTTCAGGTTATTTGACATGGCTTCCTACGACAGTTTCAGTAACTATAGAAAAAAAAAAGGTAAGATAAGGAATCAGTTATTAAAAAAGACTTTTTGCAATGTTGTCATGAGAAAATGTCTTTCTTCTATGCAATCAAGCAAAGTCGACAAGAGAAATATGTTTGGAAATACTGAATAATTGTCCTAAACACAGGTTACAAAGATAACAAAGAAAGGTGCCAGGGTGGGATTACTTAATAAGGGAGCTTGTAAGGTACAGAGGCAGACTAGTAGCACAACTTCAGATGTAATAAACCGCCTCTTCCTTTTCCAAGTGAAAATAAATCACCAGCGATGGCTGAGAATAAATGAGAGTTAAAGGTTCAGCTTAACAGTCTTGAAGAACCAGAAGAGGAAAATGCAGCCTGAAGTTAACTTCTGAACCTGAGAAAAAGACCCTGTGTCTGCATTCCCAAAGACTGCCTTTATCTGCCATCTGAGTCACCCCAGCACTGAGCACGGCAAAGAAACAGCTTTCTAACTTATGCAACTGGACTTCACTGAAAACTGTTTTGGAGACTTTGCACAAAAAAAAAGCTGGCTTTTGCCACAGATTCTATTAAAGGGGAAGTGAAATAAACTGTAAAATGTAAACTATAAGCTAACCCTACTTCCTATCATATTTTGAAATTAATGAAAGTCACTGTTGAAGATGGGCAATGAACACATGGGTAATTCTTTGAAAATAATAAACACATGCTAATGCTAATTACAGAGAAATAGTTATTCACATTAATATTCAATAATCACAATGTCATTTTAAAAATTATCTGTGTTGGTTAAGTCAACTCCAATTACAAGTCGTAAATCATTATGTTCCCATAAACGTTGAGAAAAGCCTAGCTGTGTGCCAAATGTACTAATTCCTTGAAAAGATTATGAGTAAATACTGACAACTTGTTAAAAAGTTGAAGAGGAGAACAAATTATTATTTTCCGTAAACAATTGTTTCATGTTATGTTTGGACTACTTAATATTGAACAAGAAAAGTAAGTGGATAATTGTAATCTTTATTATACAAATGATTTGACCCTCTGAATGAACATTACAAACTAAAAATGGGCTAACGTGATGT